TAATTGTAAGTAGAAAGTAAAATAAATTAAAATGAGTTTTTAATAAAATAAAGATTAAAATATCTTTCGCTCAATCATTTTCTGACACGAATGTTTTAATAAATCTTCGCTACTTCTAATATTTTCTTCAATCCTTAACTTGATGAAGCTTAGGTAATATTAGTCTCGGCTTTGCTTATTTTAAACACGCTAAGTAAATTTGTGACATAACGAACTTTATTACCGGTAACTGCATTCAGTGGTAAAGTCCTGTAAAAACATGTGATAAAGTAGAGGTGATGTACTTAATAACAGAATTGATGAAGTTTGTATTTTGGGTTACGAATTAGGACACGGTAATATGATGCATATAATATTACCGTGATTAGGATGTGGAGTGTAATAGACAATAACGGCGTTAAAAAGTGTATTTCTTGGTGTTTGATTTATTTTAAGCCCGATGGGAATTTAATTATTTTTATCGTAAGAACAGTAAGGTAAGCTAAGATTATTTTTTAAATCAAAATCAGTTAACAGATAATACGTACGTCATTTCTTATACAAGCACTTGCCAATGTTAATATTGTTAAAATATATATGTTAATATTGTTATAATATATTTATTGAGAATCCACCACTGATAATACAAAACTAAATAAGAGTCATCTTTCCGCTTTTCTCTGTACACTATGTTGTTCGTAGGTTGGTAGTGACGAGATTACCGAACTGCGATGAGCCCGTAGGAGGGTTATGTGTTTGACATGTATGTATGTGCTATGTATGTATGTGCTATGTATGTATGTATGTATATATGTATGTATGTATGAATGGATGTAACAGTAAGTATGTATGTATGTACATTTGTATATCCTATCCTACGTTCCATCGTAATTACTAAACGGCTTAACCAATTTTAATGATTCATACGTCGATAGATTCGTCTTGATAACCCGAGTTTTATAGACTGTTATGTTAAAAATAAATTAAAAATAAAATGGCGGTTCTCAGATTGTTGTGTGCTTTAAATATTTTTTCCTTCCAAGCCTATCAAGTGGTGCATCAAAATGGAAGATTTTAAATGGCGGTCACAAAAATATACACACAACTTAATGTTTAAAACAAAAACAAAATAATATGTTAAGAAGTAATTTACACTAAGAAATTGTTTAATAGAATTTTAAACGTGTAATTGGCTAGAACTAAAAGCGGTAAATAAAAAAATTAATTATAAAATAAAAAAATCCCGACTATAAAAAACGAACTAGATAAATGGGAACAAGTTGACAAAGACACATAGTATTACGTAATCGGACACTTACATACATACACGTATAAATACTCGAAGCAAAAATAAAACATGTAAACAATCCTTAATACATACTGTTGGTTATGTGGGACTCAACGGCTAGAAAAGCCAGTACAATTGTTCCCACGGTCCAATCTGCTATCGAAGAAGTACCAGGAGCACGCATAGCCCACCACCCATTGAGGTGGGCCGCCACCTAGTGCGTTTCTTGGCTTCGAGCCCGGCTTGATTACCGGACGCTAATGAGCCCCCTCACTACGACAAGGTCATCGCACGTTGGGGGAATCATATTATATTCCTTCGTCAACTTGTTCTCATCTTTTTAGTTAGTTTTTATGCAGTTGGTTTTTTATAAAATTTATTTTTAGTTTTAACATTTTCCTCTATCAGCTATCTTCGATGTGAAGATGGCTTCCATTGACCATCTCATTTACTTTGACACTGTCTATCTCTCTGTTCTTAGGTCTACCCTGGGTCCTTGTATACAGTGGAAGTAGAATGTAAAACTTGATAACTTCGATATTTAAGGTGCTTTTCTTCCATGTCCAATCCCTTTATCCATCCTATATATTTGATTTATATGAAACCTTACAGTAATAAGCTTATAATATATTATGTAAATATATAAAGAATAATATACCTTATACATCAGTGTAACACAGGCTGTAACGCATAAAAAGGCGCGGGAAAACGCTAGTTTTATATTATACTTACTTATTAAAAATAATAAGCTTTTGGCGATACTCGTATTATAACTTTCATCTGACCTCATGATATTATCTCTACGCCACACTAAGACAATACTGAAGAAGAGTATTAGAGTAATTTTATTTTACAATGTTGCGTTCTAGATTTTACCATAATACAAGAGTTTCTAAAAAATATAATGTACAAAAAGCCTTTTGACATAATATTCTCTTTAACTCCATTCCATTTGCGCCCTTTAGTCTTTTACATATATGGTATACATAAGCATTTTGATGTGGATGTTTTGTCGCTACTCATTAAAATTTTATCTTTTCATTGTAACATCATGCTTTAAAAAATGTATTTCGTATGTCTTAGAAACTCATTATTTAAAATAACCGCTTTATGAATAAACCATGTAAGTTTAAATTTTGTATTAAGTAAATTACTTAATGACTTCTAGAACATGCGAACAATCCAGGCGAGTATCACTGTCGTTGTGTCATTATATCATCATCAACTTATAAGTACCGAATAAAGGATAATTCATGTTTTATTTTATTCACTAAAAGAGTTTTCCATTCTGCGATGTTACCTTCTTTACAAAGTCATTAAATATGTATGCCGAATATTTTTTGGACTTTTACAAATAAAAAATGATAACTTTAAATGCAGCCAGGTGGAAGTCGTTTAACAACGCTTAGAACCTGTAATCTGCATAAATACAAACGACCGGCCCTAACGCAACATGATAAAGTGCATAGATCGCTTTCAGTCGACCTTGTCGCGATTGTGGCGCTTTGACCAACTTGGGGCGAGTTCATCCGCTGCGGAACACCGACAATGCCTGTTATTATCAACACGGTTTTTTGTTTTTTACCGGTATATATTTTAGATCTATGGAAATTTTATAAATTAATTGAAATAACTGATAATATGATAACTGTTATTTAAAAATACTAAGAAAATTAATTCAAACTCCATTCAGACATTTTTTTATAAGCAAATATTTAATATACAATACATGTATAAACGTATTTACATAATACGTTGCTAAGAAAAGTATACGTTATGTATAGCGGAAAGTGTTTTGAAGCCAGTCCGTTTCAGTCTTATGCAGAATAAGGATTGCTGGCTTTTTTCGCTGCTCATAAAAAGCACTAGCCGCCATTTCCGTTTCATTCACAACACCTTCTTATTTATACATACTTATTATGTATCTTTATCTTTGTATAAAAACGATTTAACGAAACGATTATCTATACATCTATACTATAATAAAACAGTAGAGGTCGAATGTCTGTACATAGAAAAAAAAATGCTAAAAACCGAGTCACTTCTCTTCTTACGGGATGTAAATAAAACAAATCCAGATTTTTCAATTTTTTGTTTCTCTATTTGTACGGGTGATCTCCGAAACTATTAGACTGATTTAAATGAAATTTTGCAAGGTAGTACCTTATATCCCCGGTCAACATCTAAGATACTTTTCATTCCGGAAAATTAAAGAGTTCCCGTGGGAAAGTTAATAAGCTATAGTAACTTATACAGCTTAGTACACAACAACTTATGCACCTAATTTAGTAAAATTTGGCATGCTGATACCTTATATTGCCGGTCTAACAACAAATTACTTTTCATCCCGGAAAAATAAACGGTTCCCGTGGGATAGATCTGTTTGTGCTTTTATAGAGGCGAACCAGCGAAGCTTTTATAGTTATATAATAAAATAGAATATGTAAACGAAACGAAATCTGTACATGAAATATATAAAAACATTTTCATTAAAAAAATGACTTTTACGTGTTGTGTACACAAAATACATCCCAAAACAATAGTTGGTAAAATGCTTGTCTGTTGAAAATAAAATAATAATTTTTTAAAAACTTAAGTAGAAGTTTAAAATATATTCTTGTACCTTTATATGCCTTTTTTGTTGTCCCTATTTTTGTCATACAACAAGAGAAGCGTAGTAGAACATAGAAAGAGGCTTTATTCTTCGAAGTCTCTCTTATAATTAATTATTTTTATTAAAATTATTACAAATTTTGTAAAGTTCTACTGTCTATGCGATATATATACTTATTTGTATTTTTGAACAAAATAAGAATGAAATGTTATAAAATAGCAAATCATCTCAATACTCAAATATCTTGTACTAAACTTTAATGAATTTCTAAAATATATTAATCAATTCACTTGATATCTGAAAAGACCAAGAATTCAATTATAAAAAAAAGTGAAATTGAAATATACAATTCAAATGCAAATTATAGAGTTAAGCGGATATAAGTTTTGCAAGTCACATACAAGTGTAAGTATAAGTATTAAAAACAATATGTCAGCATTTAGCATAGGTATATGGCAGACCTCGCCTCTACATCGAAACCTATAATAGATACATCACAAATGCAATCCCGTTAACGTCAACAATACGTTGCATTAATCGCCTTAACGCAGTATGCTTCAACTCCCAATATCCAAACTACGATTCTGGATTATGTAGACGGTTTATCGAATGAAAAAATAACTTATGTTTTATAGTTTATACCTATCTCTCTGGACTCAGTTTTATAATAGATGTTCATTTTTTTTTAATTTTATGCTTGATTGCGCTCATAACAACAGTACAGTAAACATTTATAATAAACTAGCTTAATTCAAATTTTAAATCTTAAGAGTTCATACAAATATAATAAATATTTTTTTCCATTTTCGGACGGACAATATTTCATTTTTATTTAGGTAGGTCTTAAATAGTTATTAGCCAGTGATAGCCATATAAATTTTAATTATTAATTTCGTTAATTTTTCATTTCTTCTCTTTATTAAAACTTTTCGTGGACGTTTAGGAACACACGAAAAAAATTTAGCCGAATTGGTCCAGCCATTCTTGAGTTATGCCCTTACCAACATTTTGGTGTTTTTTTTAAGTCGTTTTTTTAAGTTTTTATTTTTCCCTTTTTAGTTTAGATATATGTAGTTTTAACAAAGTAAGAAGAAAATATTTTAATAATTTTTTTTTTTAAGTTTTCTCAGACCGACTATTCTTGTCCTTCTCCAGAACACAAATGCCAGTAGTAATATCTACCATACCATTACTCCCAGCGGCTTTCGCTACTTTACGTAGCAACGTCTTTGAGTTTGCATTTTTAAGAAGCTTTGCAATCCTACCTTAGATACATTTATGGGCATCTACATTTCATGTCATATTTATAAAAGAAAACTGAGATCCATTCTATTTTTCAGATTTATGTTCACTAGATTATTTCTCTCTAAGCTCTTTTCAGACGTTTTCAGTAGATATCGCAAAGTAATCGTTATGTAATATTCAAAACCGGTAGTTTTCGTAAGTCGAAACTCTATGGACTATACTTATAGTCTGATTTTTAATTCGGCGGAATTCTGACATTTCAGAAGTGTTGTCAGCTTTGAAACATTGTCACTAAAAACGGAAAGCATTTTAGCAAAATAAAAAAATAAACCTTTCTTGACTTTAATTAAGGTTTCAATTAGAAAAACTAAGACTTAAAAAATCATTGATTTTTTATTTTTATTATCATATTATTGAAGTTACAATAATTATTAAGGAAATTATTTTTCTATTACAGGAATCCCTATCCAATAATCCATAGGTTGCAAACCTTTTTTAGGAAAACCCCTTTGTTTGTAAAATATTTTGTTGTACTCTGTTTTATTCATTTAACCATTAAAAATTTACATTATAGTTAGCGTGTATTGAATGCACAAAACAAAGACTATTTACAATGTCTGCTTTACAAAGAATGACTGCTGTCATATTACCGTGAAATAAAAAATCAGACTTTAGGTACTTACCATCGGCCGCGTAAACATGTCTTTGTGTTTTACTAATTACCTACTATTAATAATAATAATGTTTTTATTATATAATAAATAATTATTATCTGAAAAAAAATCATTATTATTATTTATGGATAACCATAGTAAATACTTAGTTCCCCCCCAACGTGCGTTCACCTTGTCGTGGTGGAGGGGCTCAGTAGTGCCCGGCAACCCAACCGGGCGCGAAGCCAAGAAACGCACAGGGAGGTGGCCCACTTCGGTGGGCGGTGGGAGGTGGCCCTCTTCGGAGGGCAGTGTACCATGCGGGTTGCTCCTGGTACTTCTCTGATAGCAGAGTGGACTGTGGAGCAACCCCGTGGTTGTTGTGGTCTGCTTCGGCAGACCTGCCGTCGGGGCGTCGTAGTTGAATGCGTAAGCGATCCTGCGACGCCCCATTAAGACGGGGGAAGGTTTAGTTGGGTTTTAGTGGGTAGTACTGGCGTTGCCGGTGAGTCCCACACCTCGTGCGTAAATGCATTTCCCAACGTAAAAAAAAAAAGTAAATACTTAGTTGCTAATATTTATTTAAAATTAATAAAAATGATACTTGAGGGAGGTTATTACACTATTACAATCGGAGTTTTCGGTACAGACAATACCGGTCACTATGATACACGCGGTACAGGTACAGAGTAAAAGTAGTCTCAAGTAGACCTAAGAACAATATCATTGCTCCTTAAAGATTTCTGATTGTAGAATAGACAGTAGTGATATTTAAAACATGTACTACTAGCTAACCCAATACAATCTTCACGGCATGATAACGTTGGAATTACATAACTAATAAATTAGGTATTACTTGCCAAGGATACAGGAAATACTAAGCCTATCTACGTTTTGTTACTGGCAAAAATGAAACGAATTAGTGGAAGTGGAAGTACTTGAATGGGACGTGCGAGTTCAGTGACAATTATTTACTCTACGGCCTAGTTGTTAATTTTATTAAATTCTGTTGTTTATAATTGTCAGTGTATTTGCCTTCAAACTATATAGTTCCATATTAATTATCTGTTACAGGACAACGTTTGTTGTCTTTTTTTCCAAATTTGAACTAAAAGAATAATTATTTCATCATTTCTTGATGACATGACTCTACTTTTAAGGTAAACCTATTTTATTCTTTAAATTCAAGATGTGTTGTCCCGTAACATAAAAAAAAGACAATTTGGGTACTTATCTATTTTTAGTTGGTCAAAAATCTTTTCTAAAGAGATCATCCAGTTTCAGGATAAGGCAAAAAGTTTGTTGAAATATAAAGAGTATTTACCATTTACGCTATACACATTTCTATTATATTGATTAAATCGATTTCAAAAAAAAAGGAGTTTTATTACTGTGATTTTGAAGTCGGTTTAGATTTATAGTTAAAAGTTATTTAGTTTCTTTATAGTAAGGAAGTTTGTATATAGCCATTAAATAAAAAATAATACTTTACAAATTTTAACAAATATGTAATATAGTTAGTTGAAGTTAGAAAACATTAGCTGACTGTATCGATTATTACTTAATTAAAAGTTATAACCGGTAAACCCAAATAAAATAGAATTTGACCTACATATACCTGCATATGTTAAAAAAACATTGTGAATACAATCAAGTTAAACTTTCATTTCAAACTACCGATTTATGTTATATTAAAATAGCTAATTATTTATTTCCTTTTTTATAAACTTATATTTATTATGCTGCTTCTTTATTATTTTGATATGATATAATTAAAAAAATTACCGTACCCATATTACAAAAATATACACCTTCGTAATTAACACCTCTCCTACAAGTTTCCCGCCAAACAAAGATTAAAATGTGTTTAAGTTAAACTAAGTAGATGCCAATCGCTAATGTTAATAATAATATAATAACAACTAGCGACATTTGACATAAATTCAAATTTTAATACTTAGTACTTTTTTAAATGTTTATATTGTTATTTGATATAATATGAACAGTGAACACACGCACGCAGTTACATACCTAATAGTATGTATTGTTTACGACAACAATAACTTTGTTTCTAATCTTCTAAAAAAACTTTTGTTTTAACAAAGACTAACAAACAGAAATTAAATTAATTTAACCTTTTCATAAATGTCATTTCAATTAAAAATAAAAGGTGCAGCCAACTAAAAGTAGTCCCTTACCTTATCGCGAGCAAATAAAGAATTAGTGAGGGATATCGCGGGCCATGTATCGCGTCGCGGCGACAGGGCGGGCGGGCGTGCGGCGCGGATCCCGAGGCGGCACTAGGGCAGCGCGCCGCCGCCGCCCCCGCCGCGAATTCCTCGCCGTGATTAATCGCCGACCCACCTGCGGAGCCTTTGTATACCACTAAAGTGTTCTTTCTCTAAACAGTCTTAAAATAATAACAGAAATTATGTTTACATTTTAGTCAGTTTTACAATTGCACTTGGTATGTTGTAGATGCTTGAAATCTTTTTAATAAATGCTTTTAGTATGTGAATTGCAGAATTATTTGTAGTCAACACAAAATAGAGAATAGGTATAGCCATCATTTCTTTTATGTCTCATAGAGTCATCGTTTTCGTAATTGATACGAACTACATTATTGTTATATTATTAAAAATTAATAGTTTTTGGGCACAAAATGAATTTCAACTGATAATAATATACCTACATATATTAAATTCACAGACAGAGTTGACGTTGGTTAAGTGATAATAATGAATTGAATGCAGGAGACCACTCGACATTGTTTTATACTGCAGGCAAGTTTACGATCAAGAGTCTTGATTAAGTTCATAATTAATAAATTATATATTTTTGCATCGTTACATTTTCCTTGATTCCTTCTTATAAATTCAGTTTTGTTTTCGGTATAGGATTCGCTCGTAATTTTAAATTTTAATTGTTGAGTGAATTAAATTGTACAATGTACTAAATTATGAATCGAAAAATACTAAGTAAAACATGTTATTTAGAGCGATTTAATAATATTCCATCCCTTATTCGTATCTTTAAACAATACAGTACGTAATAAAAAAGCATCTATAACAGAGCAATTATATAAATATAAATGTTACATGACCCATTTTAATGTTGAGATTTTTAAAGAGTTTAGTTATAATGTAGAGTTTTAATTTATCTTGAATTTTATCAATTCATGGTCGGTACAAGTGTTTTTTAATTTCAGAATAACATTATCGTCTACTTTTAATAGGAGAGATAGAGCAGCAGATTTTGTTAAATAGTACCTACCGATTAAAATGAAATATGGCTATGATTCAAAAGCGATGCGCGCGCAAACAAATATACAACTTTTGTTTTTATTTTGACTAACTTAACAATAATATTTTATCATACATCATAATATGAATTCGATATTCTATTAGGTATATTTTAAATTTCAATTGACGTATTAATAAAAGAGACCATTCATAGAGATTCACATATTTTGAAAAATAGGTAAGTTACGTTGGAAATGATTTGCCTATTAAAATCTTAAATGTTTATAGGCTTGCTTTACTAGTTTTTCAAGCAAGTGCATTACTTCAAGATAAATATTTATATCTTACTTATTTTTTACAATCATCTTTCAACATTAGTTTCCTGACTGTAATGCTCAAAAGAAAATGAATATTATTTGGGTTCCAACCTCAATAACCGCTAATGTTGCAGTTTTGAGAGCGTGAATATTATAATGATTAATGTCTAAACATAAGTCGGCCTCGTCTAGCTGTTCAATCTGACGGTTTTAAGTATTTCTACCATATCAAAACATTTTTTAAATATTTTAATCGGCTTCCCTAGACGCGCCCCTTTATATAGAAGACTTATATTGTGGTGAAAGTACTCAATAGAGTGCAAGGTAACCTCTTTTATGTTAATCTGCCGCGCTCGAGTAACTACAGAAAATCCCCTCTTGGGCTCCCCTACTATTGCTTCAATGAATAGGTTTTTGGGGTTTTTTTAAATGTTATTTTTATTTCTTGTATAAATTATCATTATTTGTTTTGAGTATACTGTATACATCTAAAGTAATGTCGATATAAGGTATGAAATTAATATAAAATGAGAACTTTTACGAAGCGTATAAAGGTCAAGAGTGTGAATAAAAGGACGATATTATTTTTAGAGTTATTTTATTAGATATTTTTAAAAGGCCACAATTATTTTCGGACATAAAATAGAATTATATACAAATAGCTAGATTTAATTGATTTATCACATAATAATAACAATAACTGAAAAATATAGGTACGTATGTTAAATCAAAACTCTTGGAATACGAAAAAAAACAGTAAATAAAAAAAGAATTATGATTCTTAATGACTGCTAAAACAATTAAAAATTATATTACTTACTTAAACCTATACTTAATAATATATTTTTTGAGATTAATATCGTAATAAATAACACTCTCATAAAGTACAATTAGTAATGGCACTAATATATTCATATTATAAGGCACTACTATGAATGAAAAGCGGCAGTACATTTTTAATTATTATTATTTGTAATGGCTACACAAATTCTCATATCTATCTCATTTAGGCGTGTCGATGACATTCACAAGCATGGTCTTTAATTATATTAAAATAGTATATCATTCCATAAAATATTTACTGTAAGTTTGTTATAAAATCGCCAAACTGGCACATTTCATCTGTCAAAGAACAAATATATTTTAATAATACAGATGGTAAATTGTATTACATATGTTTTTATATAAATCTAAAATCAAATGTAACATAGTTCAATAAGCCGCATCTTCGTCAATTTTATGAGCTATGATACATTCAAAACACGAACTACACACATAAGTACATTCGTCACACACACACTAAGTACAAAAGCGTACTAATATAATATTTATAAAATATCCGAAATCGATACAGACCTCAACGGCTTTTCAAAAAATTACTTAAAATGAGATTTCTTTTGGGCTATTCAGTTTTGAGTCAATTTGTTTCAAGGCACGTATTAAGGCAATACTCTAAATAGCATCTCTAAAACATGTCTAAAATATTTAGCGAATACTGAGGCTTAAACTACATACAAATGCAATATGTTGTTTGTAGGAAGAATATTCACGTTTTTATTGCTTTATGACATAATGAATTACTGCTGACATAACTTATGTGGAAACTCATTTCCCGGCATACGTTGGATTTTTGAAAGTGGATGTCGCTTGTTTGTAGATAGGATTTTCTCCCTGAAAAATAATAATTTCAATATTATTATTATAGTTTTATAATATAAAAATATATAATTCAATATAATATGTAAGCAAATAAAAATAATTTTGATCACGCGGGCCAATCACATTAAGACTATCCATTAGCTTGCTGCAGAAGATAATCTGGTCTACAAGTATGTGTACACACAACACAACACATACAAATGCACTCTCTATTCCTGTCACTCTCATACTCCGATGAGACGACAGTTCGACACGACCAGTGATAGATGAGGCGCAGGACCGATGGTTTTACGTGCTCCCAACTTCAGGCTGATATTGAGAATTTCTTGATGGAGAAACTCAATAACTTAGCACCACCCGGGACTCGAACCTGGGACCTCCGGATCTGTAGCCATACATGCTAGCCACTAGACCACCGAGGAGAATAAAGTAATACCAGATAGCAGATGCATTACCGTGTCCCACTTGGCCATCATGCGCTCCTTCTCGAAGCGTGCGAACTCGCGGCGGTCGTGTATGGTGGTGACCATCTTCCACAGCATGAGCAGCGCCAGCCCCACCAGCACGATGGCGGCGATCACGCCCAGCACTATGCCGAGGATGAATACCTGCACACGTGTATATGTAGGATTATCTACACTAATATTATAAAAAGGTAAAGTTTGGATTTAGTGGATAATCTCTGAAACTACTGATCTAATGCTGAAAATTCAAATTTTCAAAAATTGTAATCAAAATTAGAGATATAGTACCACAGGGATATTTTTAAAGTTAATGAATTTACTATTTTATTTATTATTATTAATTTATATCGTTTTAAATTATTCAGACCTGAAATAGGTGTAATCAAGTGTTTTTATTTCTTTCAACTATTAAAATGTAAGTTTGAATCGTTTTCTCATGTTACAATATAAAGTACAAGCTAATACACTCGTCCACATCATTTAATTGGGATAAATAAAGTCTTTATTATATTAGGATTATGCATTAATCTTGATTCTTGGTCATTTATTTGTTGTGTAAATAGCTCAAATAAAAAAGCATCCATGCATTTATAATATTAGTAAGGTCGATGTTTACCTTCCGTGGACATTCATGTTCCTTTTGTGCTCTAATGTGCAAATGTTGAGATTCATTGTAAGAGTACACATATACATATAAACAATCTTCGTCGTCGTAGAAGCTGCACAAATGTTCGTTCAATGTTTCGTTTGCTACAAAGGAAACAAACATTTAATATAGCATTACACATTATAAACTTTTCTATTATTTATCAAATCGTATTTAAAAAAGATTTTAAATTTCATATTAAATTAAAAAAATAAATTTAAAATTAAGTATACACATAAACTACCGTTTCTAATCTACGCACTCATACTTCCGATTATTACACCCTATAAAGTATTTCAGTATTAATTTCCATGTTTCTCGCTTTTAAAATGACAAATTCTCTAGAAATATGTAGTCGTCATAATATAAAATAGTTTTTTCAATTTTTGCCACTGTAACTTAACCTAAAAATAACGGAATTCCATGCAAACTCCCGACCCCCGTTAACCTTGAATGCTCAAAAATCCTTTCTCAAGATACCTACTTTCCATGATGAATCTTATCTGCCAAATTTCATGTTTGTACTATTTATAATCCACTTGTTATAGATTTCATGATTAATCTGTGAGTTGTATTTCGTTTTTATAGATCACTCGTTTGGACAATCATAAGTCTTGTTTGCATTTTACTTATCCCGAACACACTTAGGGCTGGTCCCCATTTGTCGGGTTTCTTATAGGATAAATTTCGAAAAATACTGAAACACGTATTTAATTAATTTTATTGAAAAGCATATTAATACCAAGTTTCAAGGAATTCTGATCATAAATATTTTTTGGATTGTTTTCTAACGTGTTTTCCCGTGGGAATTAGATAATCTGCCGCGATAAAAAATTGCCTATGTCAATCTCCAGCCCTCCAACTATCTCCACACAAAAAATCACGCCAATCGTCACTCCGTTTCGGCGTGAAAGAAGGACAAACAAACACACTTTCACATTTATAATATTAGTATCTAGTAGTCACCTTCAACCTTCCCTTCAACGACCTCTGGGAAGAGGTTGCAGTCGCCGCACTCGCGCGCCGGCTCGTCGGGCGCGTAGTTGGGCCCGCGCTTGTGCACCTCGCATAGCACACACGCCTTGAAGTCCTCGCACTTGCCCGGGCACGTCTGGATCATGCCGATATATATTGTTATATGATTTTTAGTTTTAGATACTATAGATCCAAGGGCCTTTGTCATGTGAAGGTGGAAAATCCCAACGCATACATACAGATATTTTTAATCCACAAATGCCACAAAGAAAAGCCATAAAATCTGACACCAATAACACGGTAATGTTACATACAGTATTCCATCTTCATACAAAAGGTCGGAAATCGAGTTTTACCTACGCGCGTCGCGTTCGGTATACACTCGGTAGACAACAGTGCGGGGCTGCCACATCGTAAAATTTGATACGAAAATTTTATAAGATGGTTATGTTATGTAACTTTTATAATTGGATACAAAAATAAACATTTTTTCATTCCGTAAATTCGCTATTATGTCAAACAAAAAAGTATCGAGACATGGTATGATTTAAAAACAAAAACTAATTAATTAAATTAAAAATAAAAATATTTTTAATTAAACTTTTTATCCGAATGCGGATTCTTTATACTATTAAATTTAACATTAAAGCAATTAAAAATTTAAGGTGCAAATATTTTTAAATTTATAAGGGTCACATACCACCCTTATAAATTTGAGATTTTTTAATTAAATCTACTAATAATATTTTTTGATTAAAATATATAATATTTGAAATCACAAAACTAGAAAGAAACTCAAGTAGGTATATGAAATTAAAATACTGGCCGGCGGGCAGCCCTGTCGCGTGGGTTCGTGCCGCTCGGCTGTAGGTAATTATTTCAAAGACAGGCCTGAGTTGGAAAACTGTATGCATTACATTACCGTGCCAATAATATTCACTAATGTAAATTATGTTAAGACAAATAAATCATTTTTTTGAATATTTTCTTTGATATTTAATATTTGGGGCTGAAAAAAAATAACATACCGGGCACTTCTCGCAGAATTTGCCAGAGTAGTGTCGGTCATCATCTACGTTGCACACGCACTGGCCGCAGACACATTTTCCGTTTCCACTGCAGATTTTGCCGTTTTCTAGAAAGAAAAAAAACTAGAAAAAATATGGTAAATGCGAGTCTGACATGAGAATTCACCAATGTTTACAATTTTCGAAGCACTTCTCAAGTGTAGATTTAAAAAAAAACTAAAAAATATCCTTATATTAACCATAAATGCTCACCCCTAGATATACAAGGCGTCTGATCCTCGAGGCACTGGCAGGCGGGCCCGCTGTACTCGGGGCGGCACACGCACTTGCCGCACACGCACTCGCCGTGCTCCGGCCCCGAGCATAGGAAGCCCTTGTTCATGTCGCACGTGAAGTTGTCGCACTCGCAGAACGGACCAGATATCACCTGCGTAGATTCATTATTATTATTGTTTTTAGAGTAAGCAATTACGGTTATGATATTCATTTATTTTTTATTTTTGGGTGGCAATGTATATTATGTTTATTTGTGCTAAGCTCGAAAACTACTGTACAAATTTTTGTAAGGTTTTCGCCAACAGGAACATGGAGAATTTTTATACAATATCACACTTATTTGTGAATTCATTCAGAGAAAAAAATCTGAAATCTTCCGCAATATTTAAATATGAAGAGTTATTAGATAAAATACGTTTTTTTACTAAAAACGACCAAAGACATTTGAACGATCCGGTCGATATTAAAAAAAAATGCACTGATGAACTTGTAAAAAATGACTTTCAAACCTTTTCTAAAATAATGCACAAGCACTAAAACACTACCTAGTGCTATAATATCTTATAATAGTACCATTTTTCTTATTTCCAACAAAGAAACTAATTATATCCACTCTAACAGTAAACACAAACAATGTATCAACTTTTAAGTGGTTTGCCCTGAATTGTAGCCCTACGTCTCATCTACTATTTCGATCACGAGACTAATTATCACATATTAAAAAATAATCTCATCAATAGGCACCTTGAGCGGGTCCTCCATCTTGTTGCACTCGCAGACGCCGCAGATGCAGGTGCCGCGGTTGGAGCAGAGCGGGCCGGAGGAGGCGTTGGTGGGGCGGCAGCCGCGCTCCTGCTCCAGCGAGCCGCCGCCGTGCGCCGAGCACTCGCAGCTCTTGCCGAAGCGGCCGGGCGCGCACACGCACACGCCGCACGCGGATATGCCCTCGCCGCTGCACACTAGCGGGCTGTCGTTGTACGCCTGCGCGTGCGCACACACACATAATATAGTTTTACATTTACACACAACTGCCCTAGTGGTCTAGTTGCTAACATGTACGAATGCAGATCTCGAGGTCCTAGGTTCAAATATAGAGTCAAGTTTAGTTATTGAGTTTTTCTGTTAAGAAATCCTCAATAACAATCTGGAGTTCGGAAGCTGGCGGTATATCACCTCTGGGCCTAGTAGTACTATTACAACACGTAAGTCCTACCCCTGATCTCAAACCGGTCGTATCGAATTATCATCTCATCAGTAGCCGGAATAGACAGTGTTTACAAGCACTATAATATCTCCTACACACTTAACTAGTCTCAATAAGTCTGACATCTTTCTAAATATCACTTAATAATACTTTCTGATAAGAAAATTATAAATTATAACATGTTATTTATTTATGCACATGTTACACCAATGAAAATACATACTAGATATATATAGATCAAAATATATTATATAGTAGTACTATTTTACCAAATAAATTATTATACATACATGATGTCCAGGATGCTCACAGGGACAGTCGCAAAGCATTTCCAGTTCAACATTAAGACTCTCAGACACACCAACGGGGTAAATGCTGAAATTCTGCTTCCATTTGCTCGAATCTTTAGGACATTCTTTGAGTGTAACTTCAGCTGTGAATTCGACGACATCACCGACCTATGAGAAATATTCCGAGAATATTAGTGTCATTGCAAATGTAAATGATTTATTAACAATTGTTTTTATATGATACATACTTTAAGGCCTTCGCATTTGTTCGTTTGCATAACATTGTCCTTGCTGCCGAGGCACGATGAGTAATATAATATTTGCACCGCATCGTTTGAAGTATCCTTCATTTCTACAGTCGACGTAATTTTCTGTATAAATTGAATAATTCGTAATTAGATACATTACACGTACATTTATATTTAAAAATAATAAAAATGTCTAATAGTAGCGAACTCAAATTTTGCTACTATAGACAGTTTGATTTCTTACAATTCATTTACAGAAAATAATTACTTTTATTAGCAATAACGATTTTTAATGACATTTTGTCATTTTTGAAGAAAGATGGAAACTAGTACAAGGCGTATGCTTAATATAATTTCCCTCAAACTCCCAACTGCCTTAAGATAATACATTGACAGTCGGGAGATGTCTTTAAGATTAACTTTAGCTTTAACTTGCCACGAGATTTGTCGGTGTTTTTCACAATCCTTGAGATTTCCCTTAAGAATAAAGGCTACAGTATAGATTTATATACTTTATTATATTATACTAACATTGTACTGTTCTCGCACGAGGTCGACGACGTTGTCGGAGTCTTCGCTAAGTATACCGGAGCTGGAGCCCTCGATGTGCTTGCTGAGCTGCTCGTACACACTGATCTGTTCCGCCGTCACAGCGAATATCACGTTGATTGCGTGCTGCTTCACCTATGAATGTCATTAATAACATTTATAAATATAATGCTCAAAAACGACCAACTAACATAATATATTTTTATAATAAGTTTTCGTTATTTTTACTATGTGTTATGTATTAGTTATTTATTTTCGTTATATAATTGCTAATCCATTATATTGTTATGTTTAAGTAAAAAGCTAGTTTTGCTAGTTAATTCCATTGAATGAAACTGTGCCGTTTTCCTAGTGTATGTAAAAGGATTTAAAATAACAAAACGACGGCATAATTTTGAATTATATATACTAACGATTACTTAAATTATGAATGCAAAAGTTTTTGAGATTTACACAGCAATGAAGCCATAGATAGAAATAATATATTTACCAAAGATGATGATAGTCTATAGGCCGGAAAGTAGAATAGTTTTATGCTTTATAAGAATATGTATCCTTTATTTTTACGTGGGTAAAATTTTTATACTATCCATTTTGCTGCAGTAATTTTGTTACGTCAATATAGACAACATTTATCGTATCATAACTAGCGCATCTACTTCTACATCGTTTAACCAAGCGCTATGAAATTACCATGTGTAAAAACTGAATATAAACTTACAATATATACTTCACTTAAAAATAACGTTAAAAATATATACCTTTAAATTAATTTGTGAAATGCTTGGGTAGTCTTGGGTGGTGGAATGAGTGTATGAGTTGTTTTCCATGTGGCATTCCCCGTCATTTGGTTGTACGATACCTCCCAACTAGAACAAAACGATACATTAATTTAACAATAATAACAAGCCATATTATCTAACTCATACTTACATACAAGTACTTCAATTGAATTCAAATTATTTTAATTCTTTATATTCTTCACACAATCTGTTCTTATTTTAAATATAACTATACAACTTTTTAACATAACAATTCCTAACATAACCATTATGAATTATAGATTTTTATATAAGTACCATATTAAGTGGTAAATAAAGTATTTTAGTATGTGTGCAGACAAGTATGCGAGGGGGATCAGGCCATAATCTGTGGTGGATTTGAACTACACTGTTTTTTAAATGAGTAAAACGAACACCATAAACTTTTTGTTCATACCTTTTTTATTTGATTATAATTTTATTTTTATTTTGAATGGTTATAATCCCGTGTTAAAATCTAAGAATCAAAGAATTTTATAAAATTATATAGTTAATACTAGATAAGCTCATATGGCTACTATTCGAAGTTTTGAGAGCATTTGTACTGCAAATTGGGGATGCGCTCTCAGGTCATCATGGTAAGCAATGATGTTAGATGTTTAGGATGCCAGCTTCTACCACACTGTATGTAAAACTAAATAATTACCTTCCCGTCTCCCGCGTAATGGAAGCCGGCGTCAGTTGAGAAGACGAGCAGCTTCCTGGCGTGTTCACGCCAGCCTATTTCGTTCTTGCACACAACTGCCTGCATGATGGCGTCGAAGCCGCCCTCGGGCGCGTCCAGGTTTCCAGACACGTCAGCGAGGGCCACTGCTTTCTATAAGCACAGTAAGGGTAAATAATTTAATCTTAATATATATATGTATATAATTCTTCTGTACGTGTATTTGTCATCTAACTCCTCCTAAACAGCTAGACCGACTTGGATGTAATTTCTGCGTCAGTCGGTGTGTCACCAAATTTTCATGTAAGACTCCATTTTCCGTGCAATAAATTATACATTTAAATTGTTGATTTAATAAAATAAAAATCGTGTGTATTGTAATGTATGGACTGCATAACAGCGGAACCGATTTTGATGAAATTTTCGGGCGAAACCGAGGGTACTGCTAGTTTTCTAATAAGCTTTTATTAGCTCTCACTTGTAACTATGTAATAAATACTTGATATCTATTTTAACCTATTTGTAATATTTGTATCGATTTGAAGCTTTGTATGAGAAACTTTAATACAATATTTGCAATCATTGAGCTGCTGTGATTGTAGAGTTAAGAAATGGGTTTTAAAGTTCTTCATGGCTGATAGCCTGGCTAATGGCCTTTGAGGTTGGGCTCATTTTTTCCCCATTACAGTTATGTTAAAGTGTATTTTTAAAGCTTACTACATAATATTATTGACATCATATTATAGAATTTTCTTGTTAACAATGTACACTGTCACAATCGATACACGCACTGGGAAACTCAGTATCAGCACACGGTCTACATTTTTACCCGACAGCGCGACGCAAACGAGGTAATGTGCGTGCGTGTGTGTGTATGTATATTCCTATGTGGCATTCTAGAGACCAAATGCGTGGGCCGATTTTGATGATTAATACGTCGTTAAATTTGTCTTGGTAACGCGAGTGTTATAGGCTGTATAAAAATAGTTAAAAAATTAAAATGTTTGATTTCAGGCGCCAATTTGTGAAAAATATACAATTTACGAGTATATGTTTAAAAGTAATTTAAGATAAAAATTGCTATATATAATTTCAAACGTCTAAATGGCAAAAACTAAAAAGCTATAAATAAAAATATTTTTAAAATATTAGTAAAAAAATAAAATACCCGACTGCATAATAGCTTACTAAAAAGATGAAAACGAGTTGACGAAAGAATATAGTGCTGATTACGCAGTCGAAGACGTACATAGTTATGTACATCTCGCGGCAAGGATGAAACGTGTAAGTCTCCGACTGCAAAATACTCTATTCCATCGTCAACTTGTTTTATCTTTTTAATTAGCTTTTATGCAGTGGGGTTTTTTATTTTTATAATGAAGATATATGTACTTATTATTGCCTCATAACTAAATACATAAAGGTAGAAAGAGATATTAATAATATTATTTTACGACAAGTAATGTAACAAAAAACTTAAATTATTCATTTATACATATAATAAAATTGTAACTAAGCCGAATCTGTACATTAGATATTTTTTGGAAAATCTTATTGAAATAAACATTATTATCGATATAGTAGCCGAATCTATAGTTTTTAGAAGTTTTTGTCTATCTGTCTGTCTGTTACCGCATCACAGAAAACCCACTGGAGGGATTTTGATAAAATTTGGTATGGTGATAGCTGGTTATCCGGGTCAACATATAGGATACTTTTTACCGCGGGAAAATATCTCATTTCTGAGAAAAATACAAAAACTGCCGTGTAAGATTATATTAATATGTAAAACCTAAGAATTTGGTTTTTTTTTGGTCATCTGAACGCGGGCGGAGCTGCGGGTAATGCTAGTTATTCAATAAAATCATTCAGTAAGACGTACTTATAAGGTAGTAAATAATGTATGAATATGATACGAAATTAGCATATTTCATGGTTTTCTCTTATCGGACATATTAGACTTTAGAGCATCGAGTCAGGTCAAGGCTGTATACATACCTACTCTCACACAAATCAACCGATTTTATCTTATCTTTGTGAAAGTAAACATAGATACATCGTTAAAGATGCACTTTGAACCTTTTGAATAATATATGAAATAAAAACGTTATGAAATATTTCATACTAGCATTGCCCGCGGCTCCGCTTGCGTTCAGATGACCAAAAACCATATTCTTAGGTTTTACATATTAGTATACTCTTACATTGCAGTTTTGTATTTTTTCTCAGAAATGAGATATTTTCCCGCGGTAAAAAATATCCTATATGTTAACCCGGATAACCAGTTATCACCATACCAAATTTTATCAAAATCCCTCCAGAGGTTTTTCTGTGATGCGGTAACAGAAAGACAGACAAAAATTATAAAAACTATAGATTCGGCCTCTATATCGATAATAATGTTTATTTCAATAAGATTTTCCAAAAAATATTTAATGTACAGATTCGGCTTAGTTACAATTTTATTATATGTATAGATTAAACCCTAAATGACTACCAATGAGGATAATAGTTATTCACAGAATAAATACTATTTAGGTCAAAATTGGATATAAACAAGTCGGGTCAGAAAGACATAAAATTACGGTCAACGGTTACGGTGGTGTAAAATCTTACGTCAATGTTGTCTACCTTGCATTATTAAGTTTTTATCGTGAGTTTTCAGAAAAGTGACTATAATATGGAAATGTTAACATACATATTATGGAACATAGCATCTTTAATTATGACTATCTTAAAATATATATTTTTTTACTTAAAAACTTCGCAAAATCGTTAAAAAAATCGTACTTACATCAAAATAATCAGTGTCATTGCTGAGAGACATTTGGTTTTTGTAACCATATGGCGCAGCGCAACCATCGCAGGGTGATATTAAACTAAAAAATAAACCATCGTTAGTATCTAACAGACTAAAAGTCGATACAATTATCTATCAATTCAACAGTATGTAAATTAATGAAACAATTAAAAATATGTTATGTCAGAGAGAATAATATTAACATCGACAGATTAATTATTCAGAGAAGAAAAAACAATCTTTTCGGATTTTTTCGCGATTTTTTTCGAGTTTTGGTTCGAATGCTTTACAGCAATCATGGTCTTTCCCAAAATAAATTCGCGAAAAATCTTTTAAGATAGTTTTTATTTAAAATGTCAAATATTCGCGTAACAAAGTATTATAAAAAAAACAAATGAACTCACTTCTTGGGCACAGTCGAAACATATGGCATAACAAGTTTGTCGACGAACGAACCAAATCCGATTCGGAAGTTCGAAGTGATATTTCTCATGGTGCTCGAGAGCAAACTGCCGAGCGTACTGAGTTTTTCTTTATCGTTTTTCATGGATCTACTCAAGTCCATGAGGTAGTAAAGATCTACTGGATAGTCCTGTGCTTGGGCATAAGAGAACGTCATCTTTTGCATTTGATCTGAAATTAAAAAAAAATAAACACTAGTAAATACAACATTTTATTATTTCCAAATAACACGCGTATGTCATAGCTAAGATTAAATCAATATTAACCAATAAATATGACACCTGTATGACTCATACAAATGGTATACATACAAATTATAAATGTCTATACTTACTCATTCGCAACTGTAGTTTTACTCTCTGCGGCTTGATTTGGACGAGATTCTCGCCACCGGCAGCACCACCCATGAAGCCTCCGCCCTTTATACTGCTACTGCTACTGCTGCTGCTACTACTGCTACTGCTGCTCATGGACTCTTCATAATATGACGACTCCATTCCCATACCCATTCGCCCTTTCGCTGTTATTGTTTATATATTATTATTTAAAATCAATTAATCGACACTTATTACACAAAAACATTAAAGAACAGCTAATTACCTCTAGTAAGTTCCCGATTATACATTGGGTCTATTGACTGTTGGTTGTCGGGGTTGAATATATAGGCCTCGTCACATCCAGCCGTGCCGCCCTCCATGGCGGGGTTAAAGCACCGGGGACCATTGAACTCGGGGGCGAAGCACCACGCACAGGTCGGTGTGCGGGCGCAGTCGCTACACGTCGTCTTACTCGAGCAAGGGTTCTGTGCGAGCAGCTGTTCCGCACGTTGGCCCAAACACATAACCAGCAAGCTCGCTCCCACACTTAAAAGTAAACTCGTTCGTGCGTCCATTTTTAGAGATTCGTTTCGATTTAAGATCAATATCTGTAACAAATTATTTTCCATTTTCAGACAAACCTTTTAATCAAATTCAGTTAATTGATTTGGTAATAATGATTTGATAAATTTATTTATTTAACTTTGTTAGTTATTTCATGTATTTGAGTTTTGTCGTTATTTGTTGCAATGTTGCAGTATTATGAACAGAAATAAAAGTAAATTATGTATATACACAGAAAACCGTCTTGATTCGAATAATTATTACTTTGACTTGGTTTATATTTGCAAACATTAAAATATGAATCTTAGAATTGCATTTAGTTTAATAATTTATATTTACACTACACTGAATACACAATGTAAGTAAAAATAAAAAAAACTCACTGAACTGATGCATTACAAATTACAATAAATTATAAAAACTAAACATTTGCTTTGAGAAGCTTTCTTTTTATTTTATGAATGAAAATAACGTCATATGGTCCTAGTTATACTAAGTGGATTGAAAAATGTGTAAGTAATATCAGACCACGCTTGCACCTGTGGGCGGGCGCGGGCGTTTAGGCGCCCACGCCACAGCATCGAGGTCGGTCTACGCGCTAAACAAACGCCGCTATCTCATAAACTCTTCGTGGATTTAATGAACTCCAGAATCCAATAATATGTCTTACACATGTCATAATAAAGATGGTGGAGCATTTGGAAATATACATGACTAAAACAAATACTTATTTTTTTGTTTCAAAATGAAATACATAGTAGGTACGTATTTTTGTATTAAATATTACAATGTATTGGAAGTTCAGTAATTATAAAAAATATTGCTTGAAAATATTAATCTTGAGAAAGATCAGAAAATAAAGTGTAATATATATTTGATAAAGCTATAGTAATCTCGTAATAAATCCATACTAATATTATAAATGTAAAAGTGTCTTTGTTTTTTTTTGTATGTTTGTCTTTCTTTCACGCCGAAACGGAGAGACGGATTGGCGTGATTGTGCGGAGATAGTTGGAGGGCTGGAGAGTGACATAGCCTACTCTTTACCGCGGGAGATTATCTAATTCCCACAGGAAAACACGGTATAATACAATCCAATAAATATTTATGACCAGAATTACTTGAAACTTTGTAATAATGCACTGCAATAAAATTAAATAAATACGTGTTTTAGCATTTTTCGAAATTCATCCTATAAGGGGGTAAAATAAAATAAAAAATAAAAGTTTGTATGAAACTACCTTTTTATAGATATTTTTGTAGTTTTAGAGCGTGCGAAGTCGCGGGGTGAATTCAATCATAGATATTTATTACATCAACTGTTAAAACGTCCAACTTACCTTTTGACTACATTAAGCACGACAATCTTCTCGAGTATAATATTATAATGTTTTAACGCTACTATCACAGAAATTAGTCACAATAGTCTGAAAGGCGACTCATCACGATAAAATTATTTAAAGTTTTCCTTTAGCAAATATAAAAAAACTCCAATTCTGGAAACACTCGTTAATCTAATTATAAATTAAATAACACTTATTTAACACGAATGGACTAAAGTATTAAACGTAAATATATATACATTAAAAACAGAAATTATTTTTCGATGTAGAGCTCGTTCGTTGAGAGTCCAGCAAAAGCGCGGCCAGCCCGCGCCGGATACACGCGTGACTAATGATACAGAAAATAACTTCGTCAGCGAGTGATACAGCGGCGCCGTCACCACTCCTTCTTAGAACCAATACGTGCCAAATCGCATTCAATACAATAAACTGAATGTAATTAATTGAAGATCCTTGCAATATTTGTTATTCAAAAGTTATTCCTTTTATAAAATAATACACTTTAAGTCATACAAACAAGAAAAGACAAGTATTGAATCTAGATACGCGGACAGACTGTGTACATCACACCTATAAATAAATAGTAAATGTAAAAATATTTTTCTTTTATCTTTTAGCAAAGTCTATACATTATAATAAAATAGTAACTAAGACGAATCTGTACATTAAATATTTTTTGGAAAATCTTATTGAAATTGACATCATTATCGATACAGAAGCCGAATCTATAGTTTTTAGAATTTTTGTCTTTCTGTCAGTCTGTCTGTTACCGGATCACAGAAAAACCACTGAAGGGATTTTGATGAAATTTAGTATGGTGTTAGCTGGTTATCCGGGTCAACATATAGGATACTTTTTATCGCGGGAAAATGTCTCATTTCTGAGAAAAATACAAAAATAATATGTAAACCCTAAGAATTTGGTTTTTGGTCATCTGAACGCGGGTGGAGCCGCGGGCAATGCTAGTAGATTATAATTTTCTGAGAGCTTGCACCTAGTTTCAGTATACAAACATTGCGCAGATAAAACAAATTAGATACTATAATGTTTTAAATAAAATATTTATACTTAAATTTTATTTACCTTAAATAAAATATTTAAGAACCAAATATTCAACTCTTAATTACGTATCAAGGACTAAAAGCAAGAAACCAGTGTTTTGTAGGTCATCGGATTACGTCACGTTTAACAACATCAGATGATTCAACCATTCTATAGTAATTTTCTTGTGTCATTACCTCTCGTGTCTTTTAATATTGGTGTTATCACTAATAATAAACTAGAAGTAAGCCATATGATATCCTGACATTCGTATAAACTCTAAATACACTTTACAAAAGTCTTATGTCGATTGCATCTAAAAAGCGTTGCCTTGTATATCTTTTATAAACATTACACAAGATAGCACTAAAGTACTATGTAATTTTATATTTTGTGTAACGTACTCGTAAATAAAATATATATAATATTTAAATGGGAATATACACTATTGCTTCGATTATTAAGGTAAATCTTTAAAAAGAAAATCGATACTTGTATACAATTTAACAAATAAGTTTTGAAACTAAATATAATATCCGTTAATAAGCTTCCAGATAGTAAGACAGGTAAGTATCAGAGACGGCTTGATTGATACATTCTTAACCATATTGGAACTCGAACTTGTTCAAAGATGGAAGTCAGTATATTTTTTTTAGATTAACAGTAAACATGTATAACAGAACTTCGCCCTTTATCTGTGCGAACTGCAAAGCAACCTGAGTGCAGTTACCGTCGATAACGGTGGAGGGTGCACATCGGGTCAACGACCGCTCCTGTCTGCTTAATGGGCGCGGCGCCACATAACATCCCTATACTTGTATAATATACATTTGTTTGGTTTAGCTTAATTACAACATAAAACTGCATATTCAGATTTTTCGCGCATACTCATCAATTACATATTTTGCAAATATTATGGCTTATAAGTCTGGTATATCCCTGGTAGAGCGATTTAATGTAAATATATTAACAAAGGACTAAGATGGCTTTTCTTTACAAAATATACTGAAAATATGAAATATTGACTTTGAACCTTGGATTTATAAATTAAACTTTAAAAATTAGGTGAACATTTATATAAATCACGAAAGACTCACCCTCGCTTCCCTCGGGTTCGTCCCTAGCTTGCTTCCCCATACAAACTTTCATCCCCATTTTCACCCCCTTAAGGAATAATTTCCGGGATAAAAAGTATCCTATGTCCTTCACAGGGTCTCAAACTATCTTCTTACCACATCTAAATCGGTTTAGTAGATCTAGACTCTAGAGATTACCTTCTACAACGTCACAAACTCATAAACTTTACCTCTTTATAACATTAGTATAGATAGATAATATATGAAAAAACCATCATATAGAAATATCACTATGGGTTACGACGCGGTCGCGGTTCCATACCTATGTGTATGCTGTATTATCTCTTTAACCATTTGTCCAAATTATTTGCAGTAAAATTGGAAAAGTTTTTTGTTTTTACATTTTAGACGATAAATTTACTTATTTTGATAAGAATTCATAATTGTTGATAATATGACCCATAAACATGACCTACTGATTTAAATTATTTTTTAATATAAAAAAAATATTTTTTGTGACTTAAATATAAAAGTTAGACATATGCTGTCACTGACTTTTTTGTAGGCATTATTAAGCTCTACAACTTTTCTCTAGAACATAATCATATATCTCTCAACGTTAAGGCAGTGTTCGTAAGAAACTTTTTTGTTCAACTTTTTTTCTCTGACTTACTTTTCAAATCCGACAAATTGAAATCTAATTAAACTAAACTAAAATTAAAAAAAACGAAAATCTATTTCATAAAAATTAATTTCTTTAACTTGCTCATAGATTTAAAATAATGAAATGTTCCTATTGTACTGTTGATCTAGACAAATGTGATTGTTTTTTACATGTATAAGTGCATTAAGATATGAGTTTTAAAAATTTAAAGGATGAAAATCTTTATGAAAGTGTGTCGTTTTTGAAATCAATTAAGCTTCTGTTTTTAAAGAAAATACAATAGAGCTCACTGCTTTGTAAAGTTATATTTAATTTGAATGTTCGTTTAAATACTAAAAGTAAAAAGTAAAGTATACCATTCTTTCCTTCACCAAAAGAGAGTCTGTAGGATACCACAGGACAGTTATAATGGAATATTAGTATTTAGTTAATTCTAAGGTCTAAAGTAAGTGTGGTTTTTACTTCTTTATGGTGTAACACCTTAAGTTTGAGTAAGGGTTGGATGGTTTATATATACTGGGTTATCAAGCGTGCATTATATTGATGTACCCACCAAATAATAAGAGCAGCAGTAAAAACAAGTACATTCAAATTTTGTCAGAAATATTTATAAACCTTATTGTTTACAGTATTTAACTTTACCTTGTTGTTATAGTTTTTATTAGGTGATTTTTGCAGTATCAAAGTTTATTATATTTAAACTTCCAATAAATCCTTTTCATAATACAAGTTTTTTTTTAACTTCTATTATTTTACAGAAGTAAAGCATAGAAAGTATTATTTAATTATAATGCATAAAAAACAAGTACAATTAAACACCAAGTATTTACTTACATTTTTACATAATAATGTCTAGGTAAACTACTGAAATATGGCTTTGCCCAAATTATATAATAAATATTTTATTAATGATAAAATATCTTAAATATTTTTTTGGCACAAATTCAGAATTGGGGACTTGGCCCCTAGCGGAGTGGGTGGTATTTCTGGATAAGGAACGTGATAGGGAGTCGAAATGTTAAATAAAAATTGTCCGCGAACGTATGAGTAAAAAGTTATTGAGACTTAAAGTTACAACATTTCCATACATTTTCATATATTTCTTTACCACCATTCGGAGTGGGTGGTATTTTTAGATAGGGGAGGTGACAGAGAGTCAAAATATATTAAAAATATTTGGAGGAAACGTACGAGTAAAAAGTTATTGAGACTTAAAGTTATAACATATCTAACACATTTCCATACATTTCTTTACCTAAATAAGTGATTACAACAGATAAACATACCTTTAACGAATAGTACGCATCCTTTTTTATGTACATTACACATTTTCACAACAATTAATGCTTTATTGTATTTAATATTTTCACAACACAAACAAAATGATCTTACATTTTGACAAAAGCAAAACTGACACTTTGTTTTATATTACCGCTTAAATGACAACAGATTATATTTGATTATTTTTGCTTTTTCTGTTGGTAAAATATTACTATTAATAAATAAATAAATAAAAAGAAAAATATTATTTTCATTTCATAAATACATTTATGATTTTTTATCTGATGTATGTAAAATATATTGTTTTACAATTGTACATTTAGTAAAAAAAAAACATTTTTTTATCTGTGAATATTTTTCAGTATTATTGGCGGGTGTTCATTGTTTTTGCAGGTTGCCCACTTCGGTGGGCGGTGTTTGTGTGATGTGGGGCTGCTCCGGGTACTTCTCTGATCAGCAGAGTGGACTTAGGAGCGGCCTCACTTGTTGGGTTGCAAGTCTTCCCATAATGGGGTTGTCCCGCTTGGGGCGGCCTCATGGTTGGTGGCTTCGGCCAACCGTCGGGGCGTCGCGGTTGTATGCGAGAGCGATCCCGTGGCGTCCCACATGGCGGCAGAGGGGGAAAGTTGGGTTTTAGTGGGTATGCCGGTCTCATTAGCCGGAGAGTCTCCACATAACCACCCCGGGGGAAGTCGGGTGGTATCCGTAATAGGATTTCCCAACAATAAAAAAAAAAAAAAAAAAAAAAGGTTAGAACATTTAAGATTATTTATTTATTATTCCTCATATCTTGGTTAGGTTAGAACAGTTGCCACAACGCACGAGCCGAGCGAGCGAAGCGAGCGTGCCGCGGTAGCGGCCCGCGAGTGCCATAAATGACTAGAAAACTAGAAAATTCGAATTTCACGCAAAGTACAAATAAAGACAATCATCTGGAGATCATTTTGACAATTGAAAGTGACGTTTTGACTCCAAGTGTCTAAATGGTAGTAATGTCAAAATAATGTATGGAAATGTTGTAACTTTAAGTCTCAATAACTTTTTACTCATACGTTCGCGGACAATTTTTAGGCTGCAGTTTAGAATATGGGACATTACCCCTGGCGGAGTGGGTGGTATTTCTGGATAGGGGACGTGATAGGGCGTCGAAAAGTTAAATAAAAATTTTTCCGAAAACGTACGAGTAAAAAGTTATTGAGACTTAAAGTTACAACATCTCCATACATTATTTTGACATTACTACCATTTAGACACTTGGAGTCAAAACGTCACTTTCAATTGTCAAAATGATCTCCAGATGATTGTCTTTATTTGTACTTGCGTGAAATTCGAATTTTCTAGTTTTCTAGTCATTTATGGCACTCGCCGGCCGCTACCGCGGCACGCTCGCTTCGCTCGCTCGGCTCGTGCGTTGTGGCAACTGTTCTAACCTAACCTAACCAAGATATGACGAATAATTAATAAATAATCTTAAATGTTCTAACCTAACCTAACCCAGATATGAGGAATAATAAATAAATAATTAAAAATATTCACAGATAAAAAAATGATTTTTTTTTACTAAATGTACAATTGTAAAACAATATATTTTACATAAATCAAATAAAAAGTGATAAATGTATTTATAAAGTGAAAATAATATTTTTCTTTTTATTTATTTATTTATTAATATTAATATTTTACCAACAGAAAAAGCAAACATAATCAAATATAATCTGTTGTCATTTAAGCGGTAATATAAAACAAAGTGTCAGTTTTGCTTTTGTCAAAATGTAAGATCATTTTGTTTGTGTTGTGAAATTATTAAAATATTAAATACAATAAAGCATTAATTGTTGTGAAAATATGTATTGTACATAAAAAAGGATGCGTACTATTCGTTAAAGGTATGTTTATCTGTTGTAATCACTTATTTAGGTAAAGAAATGTATGGAAATGTGTTAGATATGTTATAACTTTAAGTCTCAATAACTTTTTACTCGTACGTTTCCTCCAAATATTTTTAATATATTTTGACTCTCTGTCACCTCCCCTATCTAAAAATACCACCCACTCCGAATGGTGGAAAAGAAATATATGAAAATGTATGGAAATGTTGTAACTTTAAGTCTCAATAACTTTTTACTCGTACGTTTTCGGAAAATTTTTTATTTAACTTTTCGACGCCCTATCACGTCCCCTATCCAGAAATACCACCCACTCCGCCAGGGGTAATGTCCCATATTCTAAACTTGTGCCAATTTTTATTTAACATTTCGACTCCCTATCACGTCCCTTATCCAGAAATACCACCCACTCCGCTAGGGGCCAAGTCCCCAATTCTAAACGGCCGCCATTTTTTTTACATAATTGTCCTAAAAATGTTTTATCATTGAATTGATTTAAAAAAATAATTTCACATTATTTTACATGTATGATTTCTAACTCTAACGCTTTAGTTAAGGTCCACTAAGTATGGACTGATTTGATGAATGTTATCAGTTTCCAGCGATAAATTAATTGACTTCTTTAATTATATTATGGTACACATATTTGTCAACAATTTTAATTAGGTTTCAAAAATGATGATCTACGGACCATACAAGGTAAGTTGAACTTAATGTAATACAGCTAACTCACCAGCCTCAAAATGTATACAAGTTTAATAAAGTCCAATTAGGAGTTCTTGCATGTCTCTTTTGTTCTTGTTAATTATTTTTCACACATATTTATTGATCTAACTAATTCATAAACATTTTGCACTAATCACAATTTACAATTCTCATTTAAAATAATAATACAATCCA